TGGAGCGGCCGCTGCGCGTCTTCCATGTGCAGCTGGAGGTCACCGACATCAACGACAATGCCCCCGTCTTCCCCGCCGCCCGGAAAAACCTCAGCATCGCGGAATTATCTACAATGCCCGGGTCTCGTTTCCCGCTGGAGGGCGCGTCGGATGCGGATATCGGAGTAAATGCACAGCTCACCTACACACTCAGCCCCAGCGAGCACTTCTCTCTGGATTTACAAAAGTCGAATGAGCGAAATATTGAACCCGAACTGGTTTTAACGAAACCTCTGGACCGCGAGACGATTTCCGTGCACCGGTTGGTGCTGATGGCCACTGACGGGGGCCGGCCGTCTCTGACAGGGACAATGGAGCTGGTGATCTCGGTGCTGGACGCGAACGACAACGCACCTCAGTTCAACCAGTCTGTGTATAAAGTGCAGCTTCTGGAGAGCGCTGGGGTGGGGACGTTGGTGACGAGGGTGAATACAACTGATATAGACGAGGGACTTAACAGTGAGGTAACATATACCGTTACGAACTTTATTCCCCCGAGTGGAAAAGATGTGATTTCCATCAATTCGAACACTGGGGAAATTCACCTCACAGCACCTCTGGACTTCGAAGCAGTCAGTATGTTTGATTTTCGTATTGAAGCAAAAGATAAGGGAACACCCCCGCTGTCGAGTCACTGCAAGGTGGTGCTGGAGGTGGTGGACGTGAACGACAACGCCCCAGAGGTGTGGGTGACGTCGCTGTCGGTCCTGCAGCCAAGGACACGCAGCCGGAGCCCTCCGCTCTCCTCGACACGGTCAGTGGCATTGCTTTGCTCAACCTTACTACTTCTCTCTTTCTTCTGCCCCTTTGGTCAAAATGCTGTGGCCGGGGGGCTGTGGGCGCTTCACGTGTGCTTAAGAAATCAAAGGCACCTTTGCATCTGTCGCAGGGTCCTGCCGGAGTTCCAGAACTCCTGATGGTAGGAGGGGAAGGCTTGCTAGTGAAAAAAGTGTAGCTGTACCCCTGTGCTGTTATGGTCCGCAGCTGAGGTATCCTGGCGTGGATATGAATTGTTTTCCTCTAAAATGAAGTCATTTTCTAAGGAGTCATTTTTGCAGATAGTGTTGTTGCTGTCTGGTATGTAATGTTTTCTCTGAGGTTTTGTGTAGGAGCTCAAAAGAGGAGGCTGTGCTGGTAACAGACCCCGAGCTCTGTGTGCTGCCTTTTTGCCTTTGCAGAGTGCTGACTTTGACGGTGTCATCTGTGGTTTTTTCTCTCTCCTCATCCTCTGTCATTTTTCTCTACAAGTGTTGTAGGGACAGCTGACAATTTGGACTTGTGGTCTAATGTATTTTCAATCGGCAGAGTGTAATTTCTCCATTTTGTTTGGTCCGACTGAGTCGTTGTGAAAAGTGGCATGGTATTCTGGAGCAGTGGGAAGACTTGTCCTAGAGAACTGGAAATAATCTGTAAAATCACGGTCCATGTAATAGGATGAAAGGAATAGGAGATGTCAGATGATGCCTTTTTCTCCATAATTAATGTTAGAAAGGGAGGAATGGAGCATGCCTAGCAGGAGGCAGGATCATCAAAGAGGATCCTTTCCCAAGATTCAAGGGTGTGATGTTGGAGGCCTTTTGGACCTTGAGATGATATATGGTATTGAAATGGCCACGGAATCCTTTGAGGTTCTGAATATCTCTATCTGAGACAGTTACTTGTACTGCCTGACAAATGGGAATGTGTTGGGTAACAGCTGGTAACATGCAGACTGATGAACATTTTTGCTGCTGTTTTGGGGCAGTTGTTGTGGGAGGGTGACACTACAAACTGGTTTCCATGTGTATTGTCGGGTAGGTATAGCAGCTTCCTCAGCTCTCTCCATGGTGGATCTGTGCTTCTCTTGAGACATGATATTTAAGGGCAGTTAAGGGGGTGGCTGTAATGTTTTTGTGCTTTTCTTCCCCATCTTGTACTCTTGCATGGTCAGTCTGGGTAGAGATGGTGAGTCCTGTGATCACACTTGGCTCATTGTGGTGAGCCTGAGTGGATGTACACACCAATCCTCCACATCTGCAGAGCAGCCCAACTCTGCTTTTCTATTGTAGAAATTATTCCACCCAGTTAATATTGTGACTGGACTTGTGGTTCAGATTTCGTGTCATTTTCTTAAAGAAGACTTTTGGGGGCTATGTCAGTGTTTTTCATTACTCTGTTTGCAGAACCTTTAAGAACTCAGTTGGTTTTTTAATTGCTGAAAAGGCCCAAAGCATCCTGGCATGAGGGGAAAGTCAAAGAATCACAGAATTCATTTGCAGCAGTCTTTATATTCTTTGTGGCAGGCATGGGGAAAGGGGAGGATCTGAATGCATATTTAGGGAGTGAATGGAGAATGTCTATTTTGTTGTGGAGGTCCCAGTTCCCAGGGTGCAAAATATTGGTTACAGTAGAATACTTCAGCAATGGTTCCACCACAAAGTGCTGCTTTCCTGGGTGTCCTCTCAGGACACCCAGAAGTTCTGCATGTCTTAGGGCACTCTTGTTCTTCCTGGTATTGATCTTAGGGAAAACATCTCCCCTGTATGCCTTTAATTACTTAGGTTTGGTGTGGGATATTGTTGGTCAAAGAGAACGTTTTGGAATTTGGATCATGCTGCGGAGCCTTCTCTGAATCCTTCCCTCATTGCCTCTCTGCTCTGTGTCTTGCTTGATGGGTCTTGGTATCCAAGATATGTCCAGAAGTTGCATTCCAATACAGGAGAATGGGAGTTCTTTTTATTATTATCATTCTCTTCTCTATGAAACTGCAAATGTTTTTATTTTTTAGGGTTTGTTTGTTGTTATGTTTATTTTCAGTCTCCCATTGGCAATGTGGCAGGTATTTTGGCCATTCTCCATCAGTGTTGGGGAATGTCTATTCCTCTCTTCTGAGGATTACTTTGAGAGAATTTCTGTGGCTTATATGCCTGCTTCCTTTTTCCCCTGGGAGAGAAGGGCATAATGGAGACTGCATGTTTTCCAGTTTGTGTGGAACATAAATGATATATTTCTGTCCAGCATCCCAAGAAACACTGATCCTGTTGAGCATAATTATCCTTTAAAACGGGCTTCCCTTCCCCAAAAATATTTGTCTTCTGAAGAAGGAACCAGTTCAGAAGAGGTAAGTCGTAGAACAAATGGGGATGTTCTTGAGACTGATGTAATTTAGTTCCTGTTCAGTTGCGGCATCTTTTTGTTGAATCAGCAGAATGTTCCGCTATTGGACCAGCAGAGCAGCTGTTACCTGCTCTCATTCCTTTTTGATGCTTCCTTGCACAGCCTGAGTGGGAATGGAGGAGGGACCAACATTCATTTCACCGAACAGATGTGTAGGAGGTCAAGGGAGTGTTCTTAGTGACGCTGTTCTGGTGTTGCCTTCGTGGCTTTTGTTTGAGTGTGTGCCAAGTGGATCATTCTAAGGTGAGTGAGAGATTTTCCGTGGGGCCTCGTAGATACCAAGGTTCTTGGTGTGCTGTCTAGGCAGCAGATGCCTTCCCGATAGGAAGAGAAGAATACGGAATATGCAAGAGGAAAGTGAGTCAGGAAGCATTGAGGTACATGACAAGTCCTCAGGAGCTGTGCTTGCCGAGTGTACTTTTAGATCTTTAAGGAGGGTTGTCATGTTTGGCTGTGATAGGTTTGAGTTGAGGAATGAGAAAATTCCCTGATTTGTTTGAACTCTTCCAGGCCTCCATGCACAGATATCCCAATAATTGTGGCTTCAGCATCTGTGTCAGAGAGTGGTGGAACCTCTTTTGATGTAGTAGAGCTGTTCTTTGCCATCTGACTGCCTTGCTGTGTTATTCTGGGTCCTTGAGAGCACTGGAGCCTGAAGTGTGTGTCCTTTTTCTTGGGGGGGGGGAGGTTTGGGTTGCTTGGCCGGCAGGCAGGTTGCTCCCTCTCCACGTTAATAGGAGGTTTAGGGAAGAGAAATGAGACTCGGGCCCCAAGGACATGTCTGTGGTTCCTGGCAGGGGTGCTGTTGGTGTTTTTAAAATATTTTGTTGAAGGAAAAAATTTCCAGAAGATATAAGTATGGAAATAGAAGAGTAGGGGAGGCGACGGCAAGAAAGGAGGAGAGGAAGGGAGAGGAGAAAGGAGGGAGAATGTAGAAGGAAGATTTTTTAAAAAGCCAACTGAACAAGGAGGTACATGAAGAATTCAGGTAAAAGAGGAAGAAAGACAGATATTTCCAAGCAGCATTGCGAGGATTTGAAGTATTATCGAGAAGTAAAAAAAAGATCAAAGAGATGAGATGGAAACTGATGAGAAGGGGGAAAAACCTAGGACAGGAATAAGCAGGAATGAAAAGACATAGAGGCAGAACAAGGAAAGAGAAGGGAAAGAGGGTAAATTGAATGGGGAAATTACAAATAGCATAAGGAAAATAATAATAATAATAATAATAATAATAATAATAATAATAATAATAATAATAATAATAATAATAATAATAATAGTTGTAGAAGTAGTAAAGAAAACCCATGCAAATAAAAATAAGGCCAGAATGAAAGTAAGAAATGGACATATAAAACAGAGGATAAATGAACTGACCGGCATTCACCTCTCAGTAGACACTGAGCAGAGTTGGATTCTAAAGAGGTTTGTTGGAGCAGCAGAGCTCTCCTGTAACGAGAACCTGTTATTAGCGCTGTTGATGCCAGATTTTATGGTCTCTGCGGCGCCAGAGAAAACAGAACACATTGCAATGCAGCTGAAGAATATTGGAGAGTGGAAGGAGTTGGGAAAGGAGTGGAAAGAATGGAGAGTGGCATAACAAGGATGAAAAAGAAAAGAGACAATGAAGAAAGAGAAAAGACGACAAAAAACAAAGATAAGTGAAGCGCAACATGACCAAAAAGAACGAAATGCAGAAAGCAAGACAAATGAAAAAGCCAGCGAGAAAAGGAGGAAGAAGAACTGAAGAAGGAATTGAAATGAACGAGGAGGATATAAGGAAAAAAAGGGGAGCACGACAGCAAGACACGGCAGAAAACATACTCATATCGGGTCGGCAGCGCGGGCGAAGATCCGGAGCGTGTGAGGCGGCGGAGCAGCGCACGGTGTCGCTGCAGGCTCAGGAACGGGTCCGTGTGGGCGGCTCCGC